AACAAACCTTGAGTGTTTTCTTAAAGGTAACTTTAATGTGTTAGAGCTTTATCAAATTCTATTATGGAAGTTAGATTACATAGTTCATATATATCATATTATATTAAGGCTTTTCTTAAATGCTAAAAAAGAGATTATTTCTAACTTGTGGCACGTACAAATTTGATTATTTTAACTTGGTTAGCCATTGCGTATTTTTCACATTATGATTTTATTTTATGTAAATAAGCATTTATCTCTTATGAGTTGCTTTTGATTTATTTTATGTGTGTACAACAACACATAATGTTAAGACAATAATATCTCTTAATTATCATCAATGTCTAACATACAATAATGAAAAATTTTCTTAATTAATTTACTAAAAGAGTGACATATGAATAAGATTCATATTTAAATCAATTAAAATACAAAATACAAACACATAAAATATTTAAAAGTAGTCAAAATGGATCTCAAATGCATTGCTTTGGATGAATGAAATGTACAAAAAATGGATTAAAATGTATTATTTCATTTAACTCATAGTAAATTTAGCAATTTTAAGATTTCTAATAACAAAAAAAAATGATTTAAGTTATTTTAAATAATTCTTTTAGAAGCCTTTCTCTTGTGTTTTATTATTGTAATAAAATTCATATAATTTAAAAAAAAATATTTAATTTTATAAAATTTAAATGACACTATACAACAAAGATCTTAATGCATGAAAATTTTATAATCTACATGCTATTCCTCCATTTTTTTAATAAAGTGAAACTCTTAAATTTATTTAATGTATTTGATGATAAACTAATATATTTAGCATTATAATTTTTTTTTTTGAATTGATGGTCATGCCTAGTTTTATTATTCGAAAATAAATGATACATAGATAACAAAAACAAAAAGAAACATCACCACATAAAAAGATAGTAACAAATAATTCAAGAATGACCAAGAAAAGGAAACAAAAAACAACAAAAAGAAAAGAAGAGAATAAGTAAAACTGATCCCAAAACTAACTAAAAAAACAACAAGTAGCGGACCTTTAACAACAGAACTCCAATATCAATCCATTAAAAAAACTCGACAATCTTTCCAAACAAGACCAACATCAGTGAATTTGGAAACGTATAACAAGTCTAAGTAATTGCGAGAGATCAGCTCCAAACAAATCAAAGAGAAGAAAGAACCGAGTAAATGAATTTTGCCAACTGCCAAAGAAAAACCCACAACAGCACTATGAGATACAATAACAGTTAAGAGGAACGAGTGGATTAACAAAAATGAAACAACAACCCAATTGAACTCAGGTACCAATCCATCTGAACAAAAAACACCAAATAAAAAACAAATAAATAAATAAAAACCAAAAAGGGCAAAAATAAAAGAGGCACAAAAGGAAAAAAAAAAACAACAATGACGAGAAAATGAAAAAATAAATAAATATGAGCTCAGAATTTACCAGACGAAAATATATTAAAAAACTATTCCAAAAACTATAAATATTTTACATCGAACATCTACTAATATGGTTGAATTTTAATGGGATGGTTGAAAAACATCATTGCTCAACCAAAATACCCCACAAAATTAGAAATAACAAAAGATATATGAACAATTCAATCATAAACACAGAAAAATCAATCCAAACATGATTTGAAATAGCTAATCCATAAACAAAGATAGCCTCCAAACAACTAAGAAATAACAGCCCCAAACCAACTCTGAGGAAGGAGTTGAGTAAAGAAAAAAATGTGAAAATCAAAATAAAAACCTCACAAAAAAGGTATTAAAATTACTTTTAAATTCTATAAGTAATATTCATCAAAACAAATACATATAAAATTTAATGAAAAGTTTGGAATCTATCAAACAAAAACTATTAAAATATAACAACAAATATAAAACAACAAAAATATAGTATAAAAACATCAAAACTCAACCAAAAAACCCGACCAAAAGGGAAATATCAAAAGAAGCTTAACAAAAACAGGAAAAATAGAAGGAAGAAAACAAGAAAGAAAGAAACTAAAGATTGTGAAAAATATTTAAATTCATTATGAAGAAAGTGAACATCATAATTGCTTTTAAAATAAATGAGTTGAGTGAGTACTAAATTTTTTTAACTTCTTAGATCTTTAATAAAATTGAGCTAATTTTTGATTTGATAGTTATTCAAATCACAATCAATAGGGGTTCATTTGGCTCAACAGTTATAGTGCGCTGTGCTTTCAAGCCGCTATTTATGTCGTTTGAAAACAATGGAGGTGGCAGCTTCAATGATAAAGCAAGTGTAAACGCGAGCCGCAGGTAACACCCAATGGTTCGCGTTTCTTATTTCATTTTCCCCCTCCCTTCCCCCTGCATCTCTGCCAAGTTCTTCACTTCTTTGCCCTAGCTCCTTCGCGTCTCTGTCGCTCTCGTTTATCTACCTCTCTCAAGCTGCCTCTATAACATTTCTGCTGCGTCTTTCGCATCTCAGCCCTAAGGCCATCTCTCCTCTTTTGTTTATGCCGTAAGAAGTGCTCGTCCCTCTCCCTCCCACGGTATCCTCTATCATTATTTTTACAATTTATGATTGATTTGGAATGTGTAGCTTTCTCATTGCGTTTTGTGGCTTTGCTCAACACGTGAAATCAATATTATACTATTAGGATGATGAGATTTTAAATTTTAGTATCTTCTACCATTCTTTTTGTTGTTTGTGCTCCTGAATCTACTTGATTTATGGTTTTAGTGTCTTTTGTGGTTTGTTTTTTCTATTTGTAGCATCTGGAGTAAAAGAATTTTTAAATTTGAGTGTCCTAAAATGGGTGGAATTCGAATGTGTGGCAATTTGACATTCAATTTTTGGGACATCTATGGATATTGTACGCTTGAAATGTCTTTCTAGTTCATGTCATCTCTATTTTTTGTTTTGGTTGCTTTGGGTGGTTTGCCCTCTTTCTCGGACATGTATTTTTTTCTCACATGGATGGCTTCTGAGGCAATTGTGGATGCAACATTTCATGTATTTATTTATTGTATATTTTATTTTTGGTTTGGAGGTTTATGATGAGATATTCGATTTTATGGGTTCTTTTGGATAGCCTATAGGTTGCTATGGGTTCTTGAAAAGTATGAAATCTCCATCAAGGCAACCAAGTAGACTGTGTTTTTTAATCTAATGTTGCTTGGTTATTTTGGATGGCCTTTTGTGGTGCAACTCGATATTAAGTGGATTAAAAACAACAAAGAACTATTTTCTTAAAATGTATACTGTCTTCTTGTAGTAATAGATTATTCGTTTGTTCATATTTATGTTGTGAGACCTCAAAATTTTGTAAAAATTTAATTGAGTATTTATATTATTATTCTTTACTAATGTTGCATCCAAGGGTATGTGCTTTGTGGTTTTAAACTTTCAGAACATATGAGCTTTAGGACTTCTGGTGCCTCCTGAACATTGTATTTGTACTGTAGACTACAATGTTATATGCTTACTCTGCAATAACAAAAAAACTACGAGAGACAATTTACAAGTGTTCAAGTAAATAACAACAAAACTATGAGAGACAATTTACAAGTGTTCAAGTAAAAGAGCAATGAACTGTGACTTTTTTAGATGAGCTGATAGGTTCGATAATTTCACCGCTGATAGTGATTTGACATGAAGAGTTTCTTTGCAGGAGGGATTATTTCGTGACATTTATCGTGTGCATTTTAAAAATAATATCATGATAATATTAATTTAGTTTAATAGTTTTATTTTTAATTTTCATCGTTGTGTTACTCACTATTTAGTGAAGTGTCAGTTTTCATTATGTAATATTCAAACTAGATAGTTGTTCTCATGAATGAAGTGTGCAATCAGGATTGATTATGTTATAAACAACAAAATATTACAGTGACAAAAATGTCATTTATTCATAAATAGCTAGTGCTGCAAAATTGCACTAAAAAAATATGAACACAGCTTCTCCACAGAAGATTCTTAGCAAAGCTGTTGGGCAGCATATTCCAGACACAACTGCTGCGCAACAGTTTTTAAAAAAGATGTAGTTGCTACAAATAGGAGAATATAAGACATTCAAATGAGTTGTGTCTGATGTGGATGATGGTTTTTTTATATTATTTTGAGTATATTTTCAGCTCATGAGCTAACAAGTTGAGTTGGGCTAGCTTGAGCTTGGCTTGTTAGCTCAGCTAAGTTCATAAGCTATTTATCAAGCTGAGCTCATTTTGACTCATGAGTTGGCCCGACTCACTTACTCCAACCGTTAAGTGACAATTTGTTATGGCCCCCACACCACCTGACCATATAGACCAATGATTGATGGTTCACACATCTAGATAGACACAATACTCTCCCACTCTACAGCCCTAGGCCGCTATACTTAGGGTTCGTTTGGGGCAGCTTATAAGTGCGGGCGGCGTTTTTAAAAACCCCAGCCGTATCGTTTGGTTCGCGCGTTTCAGAATAAACAGCTTATCCTGAAACGCACGAGTAGGACTGTAAAAAAAACTCGTTGTTCGCGAACAGTTCGGGTTCAGTTTGTCAATGAGTTCGTGTTCGATTCGTTCGATAAGTAAACGAGACAAACGTGAACAAATTTTTTTCGTTCGGTTAGTTAAACGAATCAAACACGAACAATTCGTATTCGAATCATTATTGTTCGAAATATTAAATAATTTAAAATATTTATATATAAAAAATTTATGATATTTTAAAAAAATTAAATATTATAAATTATAATATATAATAAATTAATAATAATAGTAAATTAATATACTATATTAGTAATATACTAATATATATATTATATATTTATATAATATAAGTTATATAATTAATATAATATATTTTTTACATATATTAATATTAGAGTTGTCAAACTAGCTCGTCGTTCGCGAACAACTTGTGTTCGACTCGTGTTCGGTTCGTTCGTTAAGAAACAATTTTAAACACGAACTTATTTCAAATAAATTAAACTTGAAACAAACTCAAATTCTATTCATTCTTGTTCTAGGTTCGTTTACACCCCTCTGTACGAGCTGCCCCCAAACGGACGCTTAGGATCGCTCGCTGGCCCTGCCACAACGCACCGCGGGCATTTCATTGTCCATCACCCGGAAGTTCTGAACCGTTCTCTCTTCTCCTTCGCTGCTCAACTAGTAGTATCCCCAATCTCTATCTCACCATTCTTCCCCTTCAATGCAATCAAAACAGTGCCAATGAGCATCTATCTTCCGCTTTCTACCGCAGATATCCCCCTAAACTGGAGGTGGAATTCGGACAGTAGAACCATGAAGTAGAATAAGTCGAGGAGTGGATGAGGATGAGCTCTTTGTAGAGTTCCTACGTCCTCCTACCCCGAATGGGAACTAGGGTTCCGATATCGCACCCCTACGGTCTAAGACCCGCCAGCTCGTTCATTGGCGGATCCTTGCATGACCTAAACTCCGTGGAGACGCGCAGCGGCGAGATCGAGGGGATCAGCGACGTCGATCGCGATGCTGTCACTGAAGAGAGCCTTGACAACGACGAAGAGTCCACTTCGGTGGTTCGCCCTTGATTTTTCCTTGTTTTCTTATCGGTTTCTTTTCATCTTCATGTATAGCATGCGAAAGCCCCGAAAGGGGCTGGCGGTGTAGGATGGGTTTTTCCCCCTCTTTTTTTGTGATTGGAACCATCAGATTAGGGCTCTTATTTGATTTGTTTGATGCATCAGGACTGCATACATGATTCATATAGGAGTTCATTGCAACCTCTCCATGATGAAGAGCAATCTGCTCTTGAGAGTGATGGCAGGCCCTCCACTCCCAGTTATAACATTCTGACAGTGGATGGTAAATACTTTTTGCTCTTTCGGATTTCTTTTAGAATTATGCTATGTCGCGTCTGTTCAGCACTTCAGTTACCTTTAGCTCGTGAATGTTTGTTTTGAAGTAGCTGTATTGCTGCAATAATTTAATAGATGTTTTACCAATTGAGGCTACAAGGGCGAGATTCTTGCAAATTATTGTTGACCATTTTGTCAAAGAGAACATGGTAGAAGTGGCCGACACTTCTGATGCTGACTATGGCCATGGCCATGATAAGCACAAAATAAAGCTTCATGAAGTTAGTTATGAAGGTGATCCAAGGTTTGTGTTGCCCCTCATGTACGTGGCAAATTTGTATGAGACCTTGGTTAATGAGGTGAACATTCGCCTTTCTTCTTTGGCGGGGATCCGTGAGAAGACAATTGGGGTAGCTCTTGAAGCAGCTGGTGGATTGTACAGAAAACTTGCCAAAAAATTTCCTAGAAAAGGTCTGCCTAGTTAAGTTCGTGTATAGCAATCTCATGTCTTTCATTAAGATTTTTTTCCCATTTCTTACATCTGTCTGTGTTTCTGGGTTAGGATCTTGTAGCTTTAAGAGAAGAGAATTGGCCACTTCTCTTGAGACGAGGACAAGATTTCCTGAGCTGGTTGTACAGGAGGAGAAACGTGTTCGTTTTGTCGTTGTGAATGGGTTGATGATAATCGAGAAGCCAGACAGCATGCCACCGGAAGATGCTAACTGGTATGTGCTGTTTAACTTTTTAAGTTCTTTGGTGATCAATGTAGCTATTAGTATGCATAGATCATGAGGTTCATACCTTGAAACACTTCATTTTCCTCTAGAGATAAAACAACTTGTACAAGCTTCTTCATAGAAATTGTTACCATTGCATTACCTGAATTTTTATTTTATTTTATTTTTTACAATATCCGAACTTGTGGTTGCACTTTTCATTACCATGCTTATTTGAGGTAGCATGTATGGCATGATGATATTTACAATCTTGATGGCAGATCAGCTATTTATTTATGGCCAAATTTGATGATAACATGAATAGAGGATTATGCTCTGAATATGATGTCTTTTCATTGACATTATTATTATTTTTCTTTATGAGTTGAGAACATTCATTTTCAAGGATTTTTGTTCTCTTATCAGCCTGAGCTATTTAAGCTTGATATATTAAGTAATTTTGAATGCTTGAAATGATTTTCATTTTTGTAGCAGATCTTTAATGATGCGGCTACAAACAAGTATTATATGGATAGTTTTTTATGATTATACAAATTACATTAGAGAAACCTTGTGTTCGCACTAGTCAATTGCATCAGGATGATGTTATTGTGTTTTTTGGTTCAATGTAAATTTGAAAAAAAAATAAAATTAATCTAATGTGTTTTGCGGTTGCCTTTAGTGATATAATCACTATTGTCATACAACAACAAAAAAATTAAATGCAATGTATACCAAAAATATGCACTTTTGTCTCTGTTAGATTTCACAACTGATCAGTTTTACTCCGTATAGTATTTTAGTTTTTTGTCAATCCTTCACATTTTTGCGCTCATTATGCATCTTAAGTTTATAACCATGGTTTGGTATTAACTGATACACCAGATATAGTAATTATAAGAGATATTAAACTCAACAACTAAAGTTTCATCTGTGCACTTTCGTAATTATATTTGTTTTCGTTTTTTGCAACTCCTGAAAGCATACCTGGATTACTGGTTAAAATTTTCTACTCCCACTGCCTGCCCCTGTTTTACCTACTTTTTTTATTGAAAATCATTTACCCCTTGCAAATTCTATGATGTGGAGACCTAAATTCCCTTAATGATTCAAGATTTTAAATCCCTGCAAATTAGGATAATTTCAGTCAAAATTTGTTTAATTTATTAATCATAATTGTAGCTAAATTTTTGGAGATTGTCAATTAAACTCAATACATATTAGCAAATTATGGTCATACTATATTGCTATATTCCTTGTACGAGGAAACAAGTCAATGGTTGCATAACATACATTTAAGTTTCTTAAACTGACAACAATTGACCTTTTTTAGAGCAACTATTAGTTGTTGGGAGTCTATGGCGATCTCATGCTTTTCACATTGCGGTTGGTGGTTGGGCAAGGACGTCTAATGAGGAGACTGTGGTGGGCCAGATCGGTGGCATAGATGCAATCATTGTCGAGGAGGGATTATCAATGGCGTTAGAAGGCCTTTTGAAAAATGGGTAGCCTATGTTCTTTTGATCAATACTCTTTGTGGTTACTAGATAGCAGTCAGAGGCATCTATTGATAAAGGTGGAGATTGATGAATTTTTTTTGCTAGGAAAATATTTGTTGTATTAATTAAAGGATGCATATCGAGTATTACTTGTGCCATCAATGTTTTTCGTCAATATCTCTTTAAAAAAATGCTAAAAACCATATGTCAACAAGACTAGATCTCTTGGATAAACTAGCAATGGGAGTTGTATGTTTGACATTAATAAACAACATTAACTTTAATATATTGCATGAGCATTGCACATCTAGAGTGATTAAAAATCTATCAGATATACATTGCCTTTGATGGTGATTATATATATATATATATATATATATATATATCTAATGAGAGAGTTTTCAGAGAGGGGGGGGATTTTATATATATATATATATATATATATCTAATGAGAGTGTTTTCAGAATGGTGGAAGATTTTATGTAATATAGCATATCAAAGAATTCAATTTAATCTCAATTCATTTAAGTTAGTCCAATATCAACTTTAGTGGTGAAATCCAACCATCGAGCTTATTATCATCATTGTTAAAAATGTTGGAGTTAGAACCATGTCAACGAACAATAGAGCATGTGTATCTAGATTTAAGTGATGACTCCTCTACTTTTGCCGTGCATGTTATTAGCATATAGATAATTGGAAAGAGAGAAACTGGTGTAGATGTATCTAAATGTAGAAAGAGGAGTAGATAATGGCCATAAAACTGCTTTTTGGCAATATGGTAAGATTGGCTACATGAATAGTAATTTTACCTATAAAGAGGATATGCATATTTCAAGTTAGATTGATTAATTTGTGATTGCTTCAACAAATAAGATTTGTGATGCTCTAATCATTAGTTCTATGGATGACGCCAGTTATGCGTGGGACGTGATCGGGACGTGAAACGCGGGAGGCGAGTGGGACCTGGGAGGGAAAGAATCCCACGCAAGCGGGAACAGTTGACGTGCCCTACTGGTCCAATCGGGGGCCGGTCCAGGGTGAACCCAAGCCGAGCGGCCTGGGGTGGGACTGCCACCCGCCCCACTTCTCCATTGTTGTCTGCTTTTTCTTCAATTGGAAGTATTTTAATGGCTAATTTGTTAATATTTATTGCCTCTCCACCCCTTCCTTTTGTGTGTGGTTTCCTTCTTTATTTCTTTACTTTATTCTTCATGTAAGAGTTTATTTATATGCTTGTTTTCAGAGTTTAGGAGGAGGCTTTTGCTATGCGTTGATTTAAGATTTATGTGTGGAGTTCTTTTCCCTTTTGTGGGCTGTGTCCAAGGAGGTGGTGATGCTCGGGTTGTATCCTACTCCAAGGTGGTGTGTATTATTCTCCCTTTTGGCTATCTAGCCCTCCTCCTCCTTCCCCATAGCCGCAGGTCACTCCTAATCCCCTTCCCCAACATCCGACGCTCCATCTCCTGCATTTACCTCGCTGTCTAGCACCTTCCAGCCACCCCTCTGCCTGTTGTCGGTCACCTATGACCTTCCGTACTTGCTGCCCCTACAATTTTGCACCCCCTCGCTGCCATCAACATTCCTTGGCTGCCAACACCATTGCCAACCATCCCAATCCACCAAGCTGACCTCCACCGCCCTTGGAATACACCTGAGAGGTGTTTCTTGTGTTGTGTATGTCGGTGTGGTTATTTTCTGTTGTGTTGTGTTGTAAACCTATTTTCCTATTAATAAAAGCGTGTTTTTTTTGTTTCTACTGTTTTCCCTACTAGTTCTGGTATCAATGGAGGCCTTGTTATTGAACTTTAGTGTGTAGTTTCACTTTGCCCCATAGAATGAGTTTGCAAGTAGTTTTTCTGTAGGAGATTGTAAAAAATTTTATTTTCTCATTAATAAACCCTTGATTAATTTAGGAGTTAGTGATGTGCAAATCAAAACGATGTTTGAGACAATGTGAAGCTTCATAACAGTGGGCACATTCATAGTTTTGAGGATGACTGCAATCTCAATTAGGTTGCTAAATGATTAATGTTACATCTTGACCTACTATGTTGATACTTGGAGGTTGACCAGTGGTTTTATGTGGATTGTGCAAGAAAGTAAAGAGGTACACTATTTATGTGATATCATAAATTGAAATAATGGAATCAATTGTGGACAAAAATGTTGAGTCTATTGCTTAGCATTAAAAGTTAGAGCATATGTGTTGGATGGTATGAAGTTATATTCAATTCTTAATTTTTCAATCTTTTAGTTTCTGGATTTTAGTTTTTGCAAAGATTTTCTTTGTAATTAGGGGAATGTCAAATTCATGTTAACTTATATGGAGTCTAAGGCCAAGTAGTTGGACCTCATGCATTGATACCGTTTTAAGTTTTCTATAAAGTATTTGTGAGACAGATTTCACAGGAAGGTAGTTGTGGAATAGCAAGGGAAGGCTAATATGTATGGTTGACGGTGTTTGGAAGAGATTTCACGGATAAATATGTTGTTGGACAGCAGTGCGACGACATCAACGTTTTTTCTGCCTGAAATTTGCGAAGGGAACTCTGAATCGACAACATTCAGACAGCAAGGAGTTTTCTCCTCATGTGCTTGAGTAAGATTCAAACACATCACTTGCAAAAGGAATATAATACATCACTCTTAAAGCAGGAAATCGAAGATTATAATCTCAATAATACTTGAAACAATTTAAAAGTCCCTCAAACAAAAAAAAAAAAACATATAAATTGGTTCCTATAAAAAAAATAACCTAATTAGAAGGAAAGAAATATGAAACAAATCAAAAATGAAAGAAGAAAAAAGAAGGCTAAATTGGAATTTGATAGTTGTTGACGCGGAAGAATTCCCACCTACGAGGAAAGTGCTGAAATTTTGCTCGATACATATTACAGGATTGTGGAAAATTGCTTTACCGGGATGCGATCCGATCCCGATTCATTCTCCTATATCTACGAGATCAATTCCGCCATTTGCAGAATCTAGCAATTGCATTGTCCAGTTATGGACGGTTGCAAAATCGCGGGATCTTGATTTGGCATATCGTAGGATCCCACATCGCGGGAGTTTTCCGCTCCTGTTGTGCTCCGCCTCTCGCGTCATTCTCCTCAGCTAAAAGAGGTTTCGTCTTTTTCTTTGGATGCTTCTAGAGTCTATCTACCACCACTATAACAAAATCATTGTCTTGTCTTGTTTTGGGCAGTCCAACTACAAAATTTATGCTTACGTCCGTTTCTTGTCATTCCAAAGCATATCTTGATATAATAAATTACTATCTATTTTTGGCACTATCAGAGCTGGAGCTACATTTGAGCTAACACTCTCACGAGACAAGCATTTAACCATCAAGTGTCTAATATATTTTTGCAACTTCTCATACACAGTTTGTCGCATCCCATAGACGAGTTAGTTTGGTGGAAAAAAAAATGACATGTTGGATCTCTCTCGGTGGTAATCGCTAAGGAGGTAAACTATCAGTCAGGGCATCATATAACTTTCTCAACATGGATTGCTTCTTTTCTTGTATCGGCTCCTAAAATTCACTATCTTCTAGAACAACCAATATTAATCATACTGGAGTCTCACATGGGCACAACTTGAATCACCAATATCTCTTCCTCATCGATTGAAAGCTGAGGCTCTTCCTGACGCCTTCATTCTCCTCTGGTCACTGTCTATTCTTCAACAGCTTCAAGATTCGTGAAAGAGATCCTTCTCATATTTGGGCAATCTGTTACACTGTGCCCAAAATTGTGGCACTTAAAAGCATATCTGGTTGGGTCAGATCTAGGAGTGCTGGCTAGCTCCACCTATTCTCCACTCCGAACTAGCTTCTCCTTAGGCAGAGTTGGGTTGGAATGCCCCGTTGGGTATATTCTTACTACTTGATCCCGAGGTTGAATCCTGCATGTAAGGAGTGGCGGTCACCCAACGATTTAGTTGTTTCTACACATTTGAAGCTAGGACCTGAACATCCTATAATATCCAATAGGACTATAACTGCACTGCATTGCCAATCACCAGTTTCATTCCTCCCAGATATCGATCTAATGTGTTTTTCTCGGGTTTTACTAGCCTACACTTTAACATACATGCCCCAATTTAGCGTTGTATTCCTTTACTGAGAGATTCTGTTGTTGTAAGTGCTGAAGCCAACATGTTTGTTTGTAATGTGCTGATAGATACTTGTGTTGCATTTATCTTTTCATCTTGAACTATGTATTAATTTTACTCTTTTCTTCCTATTGCTGAAAACACTTTAGATTTTTCCATTACAAGGAAGAATTTTTTTAAACTGAATGGTGGCTAATTTTAATATTTTGTTCGATGGGACATCCTTACACTCAAAGGCATGTTCTACTAGCTGGAGCTACTCAATCAACTCGTCCATATCCATACGACCGTCAAAATTCAATAAGGCATTCTTCACTTCAACATTCTAGTTTCTCTTCTGATTTTCAAAGCCAAATTAATGTGACATCGGCTGTTCGTCATTGAAAACTTCTTGGTGGAAGGGGTTTTCTTCATCTCCTTCATTTGGGTGGTCACTATTATTGCTGTGGGTGACTTTTCCATGTTGTTTTCTTGCAAAATCAGCGAGTATCCACTGCAATTGGAGGATTACCAACTGCATGTCCTCCATGATAATTTTATGGGCAACTCGTTGATTGTTTCTTCTTGGCGGCATGACGTCTGAACGATCAACCAGCTTTGATACTAGATGACATCTTTCTAGGGCTCGTAGAAGGCCTTTGGGAAGCAAATTTAGTAAGAAGTTGGCTGTGGAATAGCGAGGTTTGATGGTGTTTGGAATCTATTGTCGGATAGTAGATTTGACATTCATTGTGTCTGTTCTGGTTGAAACCAACGAAGGTAACTATGAATCGACGACGTTTGGGCAGCTAGGAGGTTTCATCACCTGTTCCTAAGCAAGATACCGAAACACCATTTGCAAAAGGAATATGATACAACACTATTAAAGTAAAATATCATAGATTACAATATTCATAATACTTGAAACAAATCAAAAGTCCCTGAAATAGGAAAAAATAACACAAATAGGTTCCCAAGAGAAAATAACATAATTAGAAGGAAAGAATTAAGAATCCAATAAAAATTAAGAAAAGCAAAAACGCTAAATTGGAAAACGGTGACTGAATTCCCACCTATGAGGAAAAGTGTGGAAATTCTGCTCGGTACATCTTGCAAGATTGTGGAAACCTGCTCTACCAGGACAGGATCAAATCACGATTCAACCTCATGTATTCGCGAGATCGATTCCGCTATGCGTGGAATCTCGCAATCACATTTTCCTGTTTTGGTCGGTTGTAGAATCACGGGATTTTGATTCTGCATACTGCAGGATCCCGCATCCTGGGAGTGTTCCTTTCCTACTATTTCCCACTAGCTCCCGCATCATTCACATTGATGTCTATGGTCTGTCTCCTTTTACTTCTCTTGGAGGCTCATGCTACTACAATATATTTGTCCATGAAACTGCTAGAATCATACTCTCTCTATTATTTTTTTCTTGTTGAAAAGTGAATACAACATGTTTTCTCGTTTCAATAGATTTAATAGAGAATGAGTCTGCCGTGATGATGATATCTAAGATTAAATAAATCAGAGGGAGAATGCTATAATGTTTTTTTTAACGATTGGCAAAGTTCATAATATGGAGAGAATCTGACCAAGATCAACATAGTAGCTAGTCATACGGTGTTAATGAGCACATGGACATAATTTTTAATGAAAGAATGGAATGCATGAAGTTGCATGCTGAATTTGATCAAGGTTTTCTACGTGGATGTTTTGGAGCATTGCAATCTTTTAAATTGATGGCGAACCCTTAATTTCTTTAGGTTAAAAGCTAATTGTGCATTGGCAAGGAGGTAAACCTGTCTTTCAAACAGTTTTCTTGATCTTTCTAATGTGTCTTTGGAATCTCTGTTACTTTATTGGACATGGAGCTATGTTGGCTAACTAATGATTTGGGATGTTACAAATCAAAACATCACCAAGAGTGATAGTTCTATGCTCTAAGATGTTGTTATGTACAAGGACATGCCTAGCTATATAATCTGATATACCAGCTCAAGCGGTTAGGTTGAGTTAATGGAGATAAAGTATGTGGTCAAGTGATTAAGAATATTGTAATGGAGACCAGCTATTAGAAGATATTGACAAACAATTAAAGCTATGCTCATATATTTCCCTTCTTAGCATTAAATATTTTTCTTAGACCTAACAGAAATGCACGGTTTATTCCAGAGTTGTTTGTGGTATACTTCCATTGCATTAATTACAAAATTTCTCATTGCTGACAAAATTTTCAATAACTTTTAGGTTTAAGCGTTTGACTGGCAGGAATGAGGTGTCTATCTCAGCTAGAGACTATAAGTTTTACTCACCACGCCATAAATATAGACGGATTCAATCACAATCCATCTCTAATATCAGTCTTGGGGTAAGCACGTATTGTTTACACTGCCACTAAATATCTTAAAAGAATTATTTTTAATTATATGCATGCCCCGTTGACTTCTCAGGCATTTTCAGCAACCGACAGTTCTTGTCCATTAACTAATGCCTCAGGTTTCCGTCTGGTAAATGAGGTCAGTTATTCCAAATTCAGTTTATTTAATTTGAGATTTTTTTTATTATCTGCTTATCTACTGCTGATTTTTTTTTTGAGGATAATAATTCAAGGAGGCCCTCTATTTTATTCATAAATTCATACAATTGATTGTTCCTTTCTTAACTGTACACGCCTCATCAATTGGCTGCTTCCAGTCGTCCACGTGTGATATACCTTGATAACTTAAATTTGTTCATTTGACAAGGTGTATCTAGTACGTCTTGAAAAGAAAGTATCTTCCATCTATCACAGTGTATGAATTGAGTATTTATCAAAGAGGGTTTCTCTCTAATTATTTCTTATGATTTTTATTTTCATTACAGGTCTTATAAATGAAATGTTTGAATCATCATTTAATTTTGTAAAGTGTAGCCAATCGAAAATTTTTTCTTAAACTAAGAGAACATCGATTTCTATTAGATATTCTTGCTAATAATAAACTCAGATGGTAGAAATGGACAGCTTATTGAAATTTATTATAGCTCGTCTCCCGTTTTTGGTTGATACGGATGCAAGGCCTTAGCAATTTTATAGCGTGTTTTTCTAATAAGGACTTGGGCTGTATTTTCTTTTATTGGCAGCACCAAGGTCAGCTGCAGCTTTCATCTAAACATCACATACAACAACTGCAACACCCAACTCAATTTAGTACTCTACCGCAAGGACATCATCCAACAATGCAACAAAGCCAACTAGCACCACACTTCCCTCACATGCATCAATGTACGCACTCATCTCATATGCCTGATATTGTTCATCAACATCTACCGCCTGCCATGCCTCAACATATGCCCTGCATGCAATCACTTCCTGGTGTTCATGTAGGCGGCCGTTTACACTTACTGGTAAGAGTTTCTATATTCATTATTATTAAGGTAAATTTACATGCATAGCACTCAATTCTTATGTATTTACTTATCTCATACCTACACTTTCATATTTACTTATATGGCATTTTGTAATAATATTGAAGATTTTTGTGCTATTTTTGAAATATGAAAACTTAGGCTTGAGATACGTAAATACATAAGAATTGTGTGATATGTATGTAAATGCCCCTATTATTTTTATTATTTCAATTACAAAGCATACCAGGGGTAGTTCTCTCTTACTCAATAGTTACTACAAGGTTAAATTTCATGTGCTACAAATTTTGGCACCCATGTGATGTGGGGCTCATCCTTGTGCCGAACTTGTTCAATAGGGGAGGCTCAATGGCCGACCTACTCTTTCTATTGGGCTAGGCTTGCCATCTAAGAGGAGGCTTCCCCAGCACCTAGTTTTCTTTTATTATATACATATATGTTGTTTTCTTTAGTTAGGGTTTAGTTTTTTTCTTTAGTTTTTATGCCATCGACGCCTTTCTCCCTTGCTAGGATTTTACTCAATGACAGATGGTGCTTTGACTGTATCTTGCCCCAAGGTGGTGGTTTTCTCCTCATATTCCCTCCGCCCCTCTTTTCTCCTCCCTATTGCTCCCCGCCATATGCTTTGCTACTGTCACTGCTCCCAACATCCTGTTTCGCAGCTTGCGTAGTCCCGACACCCACCTCCTCTCCTTGCCCGACCCCTCCCAACACCATGCTACCGCCTCCCTACTGCAATCATCTCACCATATCCTACTGTCGCCCACCTTCCTGCCATCTGACAAGCAACCGCATCCTTCTCTTGCTGCCTTCTGACCATTCCACCACTTCCATGTGTTTTTTTCCTTCTTAAAATGCAACCCCACCGACCTTAGCCTAAGCCTTAATTGTGTTTGTTTTGTGTTATTTGCTATTTCTTAATTATGAGTGTCTTCGGTTGCAATTCAGATTTACTTTTAGTAATAAAGTTGCATTTCCATTATCATTTGGGTAAACTCTGTGATCATTAGTATCAGAGTTAGTCCAACCCTAGTCCCATGATGCTTCTGCATTCATTATTAGAAGAGGCTGAGAAAGGAGACGACTTATCAAGGGTAGAGATTTTGTATTGAAAGTGGATCTACCGGAGTTCGAAGGAGGGATATATCCATATGATTTCATCAAATTGTTCTAGTCGATTGAGAGAATCTTCGAGTACAAAGAGATGCTAAACGATAGGAGGGTGAAGTTTGCATCCATCAAATTGAAAAAGAACACTTCTTTGTGGTTTAAAAATTGACAAAGGCAAACGAGAGAAGGAAATGACAAGATTGAGTAAATATATGGAAGGAGATGCAGATGAAATACTTACATTTTTGCTATCTTTAGTATATGTTTCTGAGGCTCTATCATCTACGATAGAGTTACTTATTAGTGAAGGAGTTCATGATACAGTTTGAATAGTTTCAGATAAAATGCAAGTAGTCGAGCTAGTGGAATATCTTATAGTCAGATATTTGAGAAGTTTGAAATCAGCTATTAGTAATGTTGTTCAACAGTAACTCTATTGGTCATTGGGAGATGCCCACAATTTAGCATTGTGGAGAGATTGCAGAAACAAAACAGAAAACCACCCTCATTCAGACAATCACCTACATTTGAAGCTACCAACAAGGTTACATCTGGAGTTGGGAAGACTGGACAGGGGAATGACAAGACAAGTCAGAGTGGAAAGAAACCTGAGAAGAGTAACATGTTCATTATGGTGCCTGTCATGAGAATTTTTATGAGTCATGACTATGGACACAACCTCCAACTGTCCTACAAAGCTCAGTTGTTTTCTTAAATAAGCAGGGTGTCGTGAGGATGTTAAGAGGAAACAACAGAGGATTAGGATGAGGAACGACAACTTCAGGGAGATGAGAGAGAGATGCTAGTCGTTGGGAGGGACCTACAGACTGAGCCAGAAAACGATCATTTGTGGCTAAGGCATAACATTTTCTGCATTGGGTGTATTGTGAGAGGGAAGTTCTGCAACCTGATTATTCATGGTGGGAGCTGTGAGAATATGATATCAACTATGATAGTGAATAAATTGGATGTGGCCATGCTGAAGCATCCTCAACCATTTTCACTTACCTAGTTGAAAAGGGGAAATAAGTTATGTGTCGACCAACAGTGCTTGGTTGAGTTTTCTATTGGAGACTAACTACAACCACAAATGTGATGTGACATGGTACCCATGGACGCTTGCTATATTTTGTTCGGTAGTCCCACGAGCTGCCTTTATGCAGTCCGTACGAGAGGCTCTAGTGGACTTTAGTCATGTTAGAGGGAACTGAGGAGTAAATTGATAAACCATAGCATATACAACCACTACTAGTTAACATTTAGGACGTGATGACCAATAACTTTCTAGAGGGGTTGCCTGACAAACATTCGACATGCCATAAATCTCATCTCTAGACCCATGTTGCCAAATAGGTTTGCCTCCTGATTAAGATCTGTATAGTACAAGGAATTACAACATGTTAAGGATCTCTTTGCTAAAGGCTTGGTGAGAGAGAGAGTATCAACCTGTGCTGTCTCCGCCTTGATGGTGTCTAATGACGGATCGTGGAGGATGTGCATTGATATTTGAGCTATCAACAAGAACAACATCAAATATAGACTCCCTATACTTTGCCTGGACGACCTCTAGGATTAATTGCATGGAGCCATTCTTTTTTTCAAAATCGAGTTACACAACGAATATCACTTGATTAGGACGAGACAAGGGGATGAGTGGAAGATTGTTTTCAAGACCTGAGATAGATTATATGAGTGGACAGTTATGCCTTTTAGGTTGTCTAATGCACCCATCATATTTAGGAGATTGATGAATCAATTGTTCTGGGCTCACACCGGGAAGTTCATAGTGGTGTACTTCGATGATATTCTTGTATACAACATATCCAAGCAGAAGCACTTGCAATACTTGAGAATGGTCTTTGGGGTTTTGTGATCTGTGAAATTATATGCCCACCCAAAGAAGTGTCACTTCCTGACAACACATTTATGTTTTTTTGGGCTATATTGTGTCTAGTGTAGGCATTCAAATGAATCTTGCAAAGATCGAGGCCATCTTGAGCTGTACACCCCCACGATCCTTTATCGAGCTGATATAGTTTTTAGGGCTTGCATCATTCTATGTCTTGTTCTCCACTGCCATTACTTTTGAAAAGGAAGAAGTATTAGCAGTTGGAGGCAGCGTTCCGTAGTTTCGTTACTCTCAAGGAGAAGGTAACTTGTGCACCACTATTAGAATTGCTACAATTTAGTTAGCTGTTCGAGGTGGAGTGTGATGTCTCAAATGTAGAGATTGAAGTAGTACTGAGCTAGGGAGACCATCTCATAGCCTTCTTCAGTGAGAAACTGACTGAGTCCAAGAGAAACTATTCGATGTACGACAAAGAGTTTTATGCGATTCTGAGAGCTTTTAATCACTGGAGTCACTACCTGCTGATGTGCGAGTTCATTTTATTTATGGATAATGAGGCTTTGAGGTTCTTGAAATGTTAGAACAAGCTGAAAGGACGACATGCTTCATGGGTGATCGTTTCAATTTGTGCTTAAGCACAAAACAGGAAGGTAAAATTAAGTAGTTGATTCATTTAGCCACCATCATTTGCTGATTACATCTATACAGACTTGAGTTGTAGGATCCGAGGTACTAAAGGAGTTGTATGGGATAGATGATTTCAGAGAGAGATTCTACCGGACAGTATCACAGGGTTGATGGTTATCTGCTCCACTAGAACAAGTTGTGTATTCCTCATTATTGCATAGGGGAGTCAATCATTTAGGAGACTCATACCAAAAGGACTTACATGACACTTTGACAGAGACCTCACACTTGTGTGGGAACACTTTTTTTGGCACTGACTCACGAGAGATGTGGAGCGGCACGTCAGACCATGCAAAACTTGTCATGTGGCCAAAATCAGAGTGCAGAATGCAGGACTATACACTTCATTACTAGTACCGGAGGCTCAATTGGTGCATGTTAGCGTGAATTTTGTAACGAGTCCTCTATGTTCATAACAGAACAAGGACTCTGTGATGGTTGTTGTGGATGTATTCTTGAAAATGACTCATTTTATACATTGCCATCGGACGTATGCGTCTCATAGAGCTGACTTGTACTTCAGTGAGGTTGTGGATTGCACGGGATACCCAAAACCTTTACTTTGACAAAGATGTCAAGTTTCTGAGTCACTTCTGGAGGACTCTATGGGGGAAGCTCGAGACTAAGTTCCAATTCAGTTCAACAATTCACTCACAGACATACGATCAGACAGAGGTGGTGAATGAGAGTCTGGGGAACCTTCTAAGGTGCTTTGTGGGGAAAAATATTAAGCAGTGAGACCTGATCCTATAGTCAAAGCCGAATTTGCTTACAACTCAGACCACGGGGTGCACCCCATTTAAGATCGTGTATGGACGCAACCCACTCACTCCACTTGACTTGGTACGACTCCTAACATGAGAGATTAGTGAGGATGCAAAGGAGAGGGTGCAAGAGATTTAAAAATTACATGAAGAGGTGGAAAAAGAGATTACCAAGCAGAACCGAAAGTACCATGCACAAGCAAATAAAGTTAGGAAGGACGTGAAGAAGGGATCTACTGTGGATCAAGTTGAAGGTTTCTGATGGGATCTTTCAGGAAGCTCAAGCCCAGGGCAGATGGACCTTTCAGGATTCTCAAGAGACTGAATGACAACGTATACTAGATTAACCTACCAGGGGACTACAATATACTCATCGTCGTGCTTAACTGGTTCAATAGGGGAGGTTCAAGGGCCGATCTGTTCCCAACCATCTATTTCGTTGCTCCTCCCAGCACCTGTTTCGCTTCTTGCACTGTCCCAACCTACTCGACCCTTTCCAACGCCATTTGGCCACCTCCCTACTGCAGCCATCTCACCATATCCTGTTGCAGCCCACCTTCCTGCCATCCGCAGCCTACCATAGCCATCCATTGCTGCCTTCTGACCATTCCACCACCTTCATGCGTTCCTTTCCTTCTTAAAACACAGCCCCACCACCTACAACCTGAACCTTCATTGGGTTTGTGTCGTGCTTTTGCTATTTTCTAGTTTTGAGTGTCTTTTGTTTCGATCCATATTTGATTTCAGTATTAAAAATTTTATTTCCGTTTTCATTTAGGTTAACTCCGGTATCACATCGTTTTTATGTTAGAAAAATATAATGCTTAATTGGAATTTGGATTTCAACTTCCAAATTCATATTTCTTCAGGCATTGCTGTTTTCTTGTTGATCATTTTATTTGATTTGGAAGTGTTATATGCCAATTTGTTAGATCTTACCTCGCTGGTTGCTGTGCTTATTTCTGATTAATTGAAGTACTTGTATGTTAAATTTGTAATAAACATGTTATATATCATTAGGTTGGTGGTTGAGCTCTCTCGATTCTTGAAGTCTCAGCTTCAAATTTCTGAAATGATATTTCGAATTATATTGTAACGATACATTGTACAAAATAGGATGCTAAGTGGTGCACAAATTGCCAAATGTTGAAAGGCGTTGAAGTTGAAAACCCTTCACATTTATGCATGACATAGAATTAATTTTGAAGTCCATTTGATTAGGAATGCGTTTTAGTAAATCCACAACTTTTTGATGCCATTAGGCTGTAGGATATTGATCGATGCTTAGAAAATGGTATTTTGTTTTCCCTACTACATGGCATTAACCTTTTCTAATGGTTTAAATTTCATGATGTTTTATGTCTATCTATCAAAACTGCTATTTTCCATGTAGGCAGAACAATGGCAAGATATGCCTAACTTGTTTTGGCACCCTTGCTATGAACTGTCAACCAATTTCAGTGGTATTTGCAAAAGCTTATTCCTGCTCAACCATTGTTGTGCTCAGTAAGCATGTTTTTTTTATTCCACATTTAACGTAGTATGTAACTACATGGTAGTTTTTGAATTAACGCGTGTTATTGACACTTGTGAAATACTTATTCTAGTACATTGGCGGTGTGTTTGGATAAAGACGTGGATATTTCTAGGCTTACTATAAATTTCATCATATAGCTGCAAGAAACTAATGCCTAACGCTTACCCGGTGAAATTTGATAAAGGTGATTTTATCTTTAGCATTGAAATCTCGAGTCAAGCTCATTTGGTGCTTGTTTTTAATTTAAAGCCAACTATCATGCTTGGGCTATATTTTCTTTTGATTTCGGTGATCTATAAACATTTAATATGTAGATTTTGGGGTAAAATTCTTACTGTGGTTCATAATTTATAGAAAAGGTTAAGCGAACAGCTTATTAAATAAAGTTGAAGAAGGGCAGGAAAACATCTAGTGGCTAGTCTTCTTTTTCTGATTTATTGTTTGCCCATTGGTATTTTGGACCTTTTATTATTCGTTTTGTTATTCAAAAATATTTTTCATTGCATTTTTCTTGTGCTTGTGCTTTCTACATTCCCTTTTAGTTGCTTTATTCAGGCTGCCTTGCTTTCAAGTAGTTAAATTTTAATCATTGACAACAATAGCTCTGCACTTTCCTTTATCGTTGATGTGACCTGACAAAAGTATTGTTTAATCAGTGGTTTTAGCCTGAACTGTTAGACTTGTTCTGACTTGTAACACATATGCTATTTGAAAGGCCATATGAATCGGCTCAACCTGAGCATACATCATCCTGAACAATCTTTTCTTTTACCCTCAAGGGGCTCATTATCTTGAAAGTGGTTTTCATGGAATTTGCAGTCTCAACTCAGGCAAGACTTAACTGGGCATACAGGTTTAAGCCCTTTTTTAAGCATGTAGAAAGAATTGCAGAAGGAAGGACAAGTGACTCTAGCAAGCTGTTGTGTCTGTTTCAGCCAGTAATTTAGTCGTGGGAAATGAAAATGAACACAACAATAATAATATGCTTGACTGGGTGAAACCTGGTTTACTTTTTTACGAGCTTCAGTTCAATTTTTGGATCCAAATCAGGAAACCAAGTTCCAAGCATCTAGCCTGCCACAATTGGGTTCAAATCCTTGAAAATCTTGTTCAGAAAACTGCTTAACACTTCCATGGAAACGTTTATCAACACAATCAACCATAAAGCAATGGCCATAAATATCAAGCACATAGAAAATGTACCAAATTTATATGTTCTGACTTGAGCAAGACTACATTGATTATTGAGGAGAGGACTTGATCCCCTATAAAGAAGCCACATTAGTCCCTAAAATAAAAGGGGGCACGTAAAAACTTTCTTTCCAAGAATAGTTAATCTCATGAAAATGAGAAGCCCAAATTTCTCAGAATAAGCACAAGGTGATAATAATACAACAACAACATGCTTTTATTCCACTAACCGGGGTAGGCTACATGAATCATTTTCCTCCATTGAGTCCTATTGAGTGTCATATTTCATTTTATTCTAATAAATTAAGTTAATGTTTTATACAATATGCCCAAGTTTTTTAGGTCTACCGTTGCCTTTCTTAACATAAAACAAATTTAAAACATCTATCCTCATAATCGGATCATCAGATCGTCGACGTTTAATGTGACCGAACCATCTAAAAGACGACTCTCTCTAATCTTGTCTGTCACTGGAGCTATACCAACCTATCACAAATATATATTCATTTCACATTTTGTCTCTTAGTGTCTAGGTCACTCATCCACCTAAGTATTCTCATCTCAGCAATACTTAACTTTGTTTTGTGCTTTTCTTTTAAATGCTAACATTTTGCGCCATAGAGTATTGCGGGTTTCACCTTAAAATCTTATAGAATTTCCTTTAAGTCTAAGCAAAATTTTTCCATCACGCAATAGGCCCGATGTATTCTTCCACTTCAACCAACCAACTTGAATTCTACTAATAACATCCAAATTTATATCACCATCACTTCAAATAATAGACCCGAGATATCTAAAATGTTCACACCTTTTAATGATTTGATCACCCACAGTAACAACTCTACCACTAGAGCAACTACTGCTAAAATTACGTTTCATGTATTCAATTTTAAATCTAATTAAACGAAGGCCTTGAGACTTCAATGTAGATCTCCATAATTCAAGTTTTTTCTGTACTCTTTCTCGTCTTATCCACAAGAAGAATGTCATCAGCAAAAAGCATACACGACGGTACATCCTCCTATAAATGTTCAAAAAAAGTATTCATAACTAGAGTAAAAAAGAGATGGGTTCAGAGCTGATCCCTGGTGTAATCGAATTGAAATAGAAATCCTCCTTCTGTTCGAACACAAATAACAAATCTAGTATACATATCTTTAATGACTTGAATATAAGTCATATCGACACCTTTCTTCTATAGAACTCTCCAAAGGACCTCTCTCGATAAATGTATTACTTTCACAGTAAACCTGCTCGGCGTAAATCCAAACTTATTATGAGAAATTTTTATATCATGTCTTAACTTATTTTCAATTACCTTCTCGCATAATTTTTAAGTATGACATATCGACTTAATTCTTCTATATTTTGTACACTCTTATGCATCCCTTTTATTCTTAAAAATGAGGACTAAAATACATTTCCTCTACTCCTCAGACATCTTTTTAGTTTTTAAAATAGTATTAAAGAGTTTAACATGTCAAGAAATTCCCAAATCTTTTAAATATTTTCACACTTTGATTAGGATGTCATCACATACTTTTGATTTATTGTTATTGATTTTCTTTAAAGTTTCTTCAACTTCTTTTTTACTAATGCAATGGTAAAATGAAACTTTTTATTATTATTAACGATATTAAGATTACTAAGGTCGATCATATTTTCAGAAATTTCATTGAAAAGTTTATCAAAATAACTCACTCGCCTATGTTGAATATCTTCCTTTAACCTTTAAGAAAATCACTTTTTGATCTTTTTGATTTTCATCTTTAATACACTTTACTTGAATTAAATATATTTTTTTTTATTTGACTAGTTTATATATATATTTTTCACCATATTTAGCATCTAATTTATTATAAAGATCACTAAAAGTCGAATGTTTAGCTTCACAAATTGTTTTCTTAGACTCCTTACGGGCTACCTTATATTTTTTTTAGCTCTGTAAGCTTTTACATTTACATTTATTTTTATAACACAATTTCTTATATTTTATCTTTTCTTGGACATTATTATTCCACAAACTATTTTTATTTATAATTTTTTTTGTGATTCTTCAATTACACTTTCACAACTTGTTTAATAGTGCTTGTAACTTTATCCCACGTAGAATTAACTTCTTCATGAACATTCCAAAGCTTAAAATTTTGAAGTTTAATCATAAAAAATAATTTTATTTGTTTCTCTAGGTGCCCTCATCTAATTTTATGACAGTGTTTCATTGTATGCTTTATTTTACAACTCACATCTTAAAATTCAAAACTTATAATCAATGTTGGGTACTTAAATTGTCACTTGGAATGACTTTACAACATTTACATTTTCAACTATATCTTTGCCTCATAAGAAAATAATCAATTTGTGTTTTATTAGATCAATTCTTTTAAGTACGAATATGCTGATATCTTTTCTTAAATAAAGTATTAGCAATAACAAAATCATACACCAAAATAAAACCTAATATGGTTCTATCTTTTTCATTGATCACTCTAAATATGTTGTCACCATCAATATTTCTAAAATCTTTCATCACTCTACCAACATATCCATTTAAATCTCCTCCAATAAAATTCTTTCTTTAGGAGGTATCATTGTATTAATTCTTTCAGGTCATTCCGAATTTTTTCTTTTGAACCTATATCTAAATCTAATTGAGGAGCATAAGCACTTATAACCTTAAAAATTTTAGTATCAACAACAATCTTTAGAGATATAATTCTATTAATTTTTACAGCATTATCTTTCAAGCTCTTATCTATAATTACACCGACACAGTTTGTTTTGTGACTCCTACATGAATATCATAATTTAAAATCTAGCTATCAATCTCTTTAGCATTTTCTCCAACACATTTAGTTTTTTGAATACATAAGATGTTCATCTTCCTATGAATCGTAATATCTATTAATTTTATTAATTTACCAATAAGAGTACATATATTCCAAGATCTTATTTTTATATTTATTTCATGGACTAACTTTTTTACCCACATACATCCGTAATATGAGAATCATTATTTATTTGATTTAACACCCAGGTGCAGGTGTAACAGCTCTCGCACACTTCACTATTTTCAGGTCATTCAACACATTTCTTTTAAGGGACAAATACCCAAGCATTTACACCATGATATAAAGGATTCATGTCATGATTTTTCAAAAAAAAAAAAAAATTTATGCTAGTTGTTGACTACCTGGTGCAACCCTCCATTTTTTCAATATAGGGCTTGGGACCCGACAATAACTGTTAAAATTGTAGAAGGAAATTTGTAGAAATTAGAATACTGGATGTAGTTGTTAAATCTATTTGTTACCGACTTGTGCTATAGAAAGTAGTTGGAAATTGCTTTAGCATTTAAAGAAAAAAAGGCAGAGCATGTGTGAAAGAAGGCGTTTTAAATGAAGGTGTAAAACTGATAGGCACCAAAATATCATGACAATGCTAACAACAAGTTCAGGGCATTGGTTTGGTTCAAAGTTTGAAGGAAAATGTGTAAAAAGTTTTTTGTTGCCTTCATAACACAAGCTGTGGCACTTTGGATCTTTCCACCCCAATCTAGTAGTTTTGAGATCCTTCGCTCTGGCAAAATTTAGGGGCTGTAAAAGATCTTGTTCCATCTCTAAATGTTTTTCATTACTAAATAGTTCAGTTATTCATTGATTAACATAGGCTCAGTATTTTCACATGTTAGAGGGGGTTTTAAATCCTTGGTCTTGATCTTATATGTTTAGCTCATTCTATGGATATCTTTTTTCTTTGTTGTTGGTCATTCAGTTAATTTGATTATAATTCTTTGGATTTGGCAATTTGCACTCTCGAAATCCTGGCTCCATGGCGGGAGCCAAGGCCTCATGTTTGGGGCCTCGAAGGCGTCCACGTATCTCCCTGCTGTTTATACTCGCAAATCTTTAGGATGATAAAGATTATGATTTCGAAAGCTTGTTGAATTAAACGACAATCCACTTCATTATGCTACATCTGGTCATCAGCAACAATTTGAAGGGCACTAGTATTTTGTCTTCATCGAGAGTGGGATTAATATAAGAAAATTAAGTTTAGATCGAAGTCCATGAAGAATGATTATATTAGAGCAGGATATTCCTACCAAAGTCTTATGATGAATAGATCTCAAAATCATATTGAGATGAGTGCAATATAAATTTTAATTGATTTTCATAGAATATACTTATTTCCTGTCTATATTCTTTCCGTTTTTCTATTATCTGTCATGTTGCTTTTCTATTATGATCAGTGCTCATGATTATTAAAGCTATTTTGCCAATACTAATCCTTATGTGTGATCATTTAAATTTCAGCCCACAAGTCCCGCAAAGTTTTGTGATGAATGTGGAGCGCCTTATTTGAGAGAGACCTCAAAGTTCTGCTCTGAATGCGGTACTAAAAGATTAGGGACATAAATTATATTAAAATGCTGTACTTAGTCTTTAATGTCACAAATTAATAAGAAATGCAGCATCTTTCAAAAACACTTGGGATTAAATCCCCTTAGAAATGGTCAGGAATGCTGGATGTGACCCTGTGGTGTATACTGCGCACAAGTTATACTCTGTTCTTAAATTATTGCATGCAAAGAAACACTTCAGGAGTGCTATTCTAATACCCCTCCGATGGATTCTGATGCTACCATGAAATGTGTTATTGCATGGCTCGAAATTTGTTTCTTTTTGATGCGCTGTTTGTTTTAGCTTTTTTAACTGTTTTTTGTTTTTCTAGAATTAAATTTTATTTTTATTTTTTATAAATTGTTCAGATTGCGTGTGTGTTTGTTTTTTTTATAAGTTGTGTCTAGGGCGGTCAAAAAACCTCGTTGTTCGCGAATAGTTCATGTTCAGTTCGTCAATGAGTTTGTGTTCGATTCGTTCGATAAGTAGACGAGACGAACATGAACAATTTTTTTTAGTTTGGTTAGTTAAATGAACCAAACATGAATAGTGATGCGTTCGTTCGTATTTGAATCGTTATTGTTTGAAATATGAAATAATTATACATAAAAAATTTATGATATTTAAAAAATTAAATTTTATAAATTATAATATATAATAAATTATATATTATATATTTATATGATATAAGTTATATAATTAATAGATTTTTCTATCATATTAAAGCATCAGTATTTTAATTTTTAAAAAAATGATATCCACCTTCCACATATATCTTGAACAGCTCGTGTTTAACTCGTGTTCGATTCGTTCATTAAGAAACGAACACGAACAGTGACTTCACGAACAATTTCAAACACGAGCTTATTTCAAATAAACTAAATTTCAAATGAATCGAACACGAACATAAGCTTTGTTCGTTCGTAAGCTTTGTTCGTTCGTGTTCGCGGTTCGTTTACACCCCTAGTTGTGTTTGATCTGATGTAAATTGGACATAAAATTGGAAGACGAAAGCTTGGTTTATTATTTGCTTTGACAATAAATGAAATGTTAAATATGAAAATGTTTAAAGTGTTTTGTTTAGAAACATTTTATCATAGAACTAAAATTAAAATAATTTGTTTAGGAACAAAATCGTTTAATTTTAATACTATATAAAAGTTCTTGAAGTATGGTAAATAAAATAATCTAATAAGGTGTTCTAGTCTACACACATAATGATAAAATAACTATGATAATTAATCAGAATTATACTATTAATGAATTTATTATTATTAAGTAATTAATAATTTATATTTAATTAATTTTTTTATATCCAAATACAATATAAATTATTATCAAATGTAATTTAAAAATTGCCATTTGAATAACAAATAAGTTAGTTCTTCAGTTCAATCAATTTTTTAATTTACAAAAAATTTAAAATTTTTAAATTGGCTACTTAAATTAACATTAATCAAGTAATCAAGCTAAACTCGAATTGTTTATCGAACGACAGTACATTCAAATCAATTGAAGGGCTGCAAGATGCACACCTATGTTATAGAAAAAAATATTGCATCAGTATTCAACACGTCGAGTTACGTTCGGAGTTGAATGAAATCACCCAATGTGGATTTGACAAAAAACAACGGCCCTGTTACACGGGAATATTCCCCGTGTTATTCTGTGTTATTCAGTTGTTATTGTATGTTATTCATGTATTATTGTGTTCAGAGAATATTCTCAGTGTTATAATAACACAATAATATAACAATAACACTTGAATAACACATAATAACACGTAAATAACACCTGAATAATCCGAGAGGTTGTGTTACCATGCAGATTTTATTTTATTTTTCTGTCACCTCATGTGACGTGATTTCATTGGACTTCACACCTAACTCTAAGTACGAAGTCCTAATGCAATATTTTCATGATGTTATATACCCATCTATAACCTGCGACATGTATTTTAATGAATGGTTTCATGTATATTTATCAAAATATTATCATAATATCACAAATTCACACATATATTATCCAAAAATAATATCCCCTCGCTTACGAGTCAGGAGTGTTCTGGGTGGGACCTACATTGAACTTCGCGTTTCATGATATCCAAGGATCACTCCTATTGACAACGGGTTCCGATAAGTCGGTCAGTCAGTCGATTCCTGTTTCCGGTTGAGGAAGAAGAGGATATGGCGGCAAACGCAGCTTCTAGAAGGGTTCTGATGCTCTGCGGGGACTACGTGGAAGATTACGAGGTATTCGCGTTTGATGCTCTTCCTCTTCTTCATTCTCGATGCAGTTTTTGGCATTTTACGAGCTAAATGGGGGTTTTGGAATGCTGCATAGGCGATGGTTCCTTTTCAAGCACTGCAAGCTTATGGAATAGCCGTGGACGCAGTTTGCCCAGGAAAGAAAGCCGGCGAGATATGCAGAACTGCGGTGCATGAGATTTCACCGCATCATCAGGTAATTGTTACTGTGGCTTGTCCGATTAGTGGATTTTGGATGAATTTACAATTACTACTCGGTGAAGATATGGAGTTGTTTCCAAAATTAGTTTAAATTTATTTAGCGTGTCAACTGGGAATTTATGTGCCTAATGGCGTGTTTTTGAAGAGGTGTTATTTAGAACTCTTTAAATAATTAAATATCATATCGGAGCTCATAATAATTTGCATTTTCAAAGGAGCCTAGTCAATCTTTGGATGGGCGATTTTACTTAGCTAATGATTGGCTTCATCTTATCATATTGGCCAAGATAGAAGTCGATGACTACTATTTTTTAACTCCATAAATTATATAATTTTTTTTTATTTGTAAAAACATTTGTAATGTTTTTTATAGTTTTAATAACTTACCATATTCATAAAATTTTGATTTATTGAGCATGCTTTCTATTGAATATGAGCTTATATTCATTTGAGCATTGTTAATTTGTAATGATTGAATGCGTGTAATAGTTTATAGTAGTTTAAGATTTGCTAAATTTGAATAGTAATATCTAAAGCAATAAATACAAGCCATCTCAGCCTGTTTGTTTAGAGCTTGGTCTTTCAACTAAGAGGTACTGGGTTCAAAGCATTGCATAAGCAATGTACATGTGTTTGCTTTTAAAGTCATTCAAACTTCTCAAAAAAAAAAAAAACTTAAATGCAATATTAGATCATGAAAGTCTAAGTGATATTGATATTAATGTTGAAAGATAACTTTACGCTGCAACACATCAACATAAATTTTAGAAAGAAGTGCAACAAAGAAGAAAGCACACATAACCACTACCTATGACTTTTGCCCGATATGTCCCTCCTCACTATAGAAGTATATATTTAGTGCTTGGTTTGTCTTCATGCACATGTTATTGCACATGTACATATACGTATGAATTTCAGGCATCCCATTGTTCTTTATTTTGACGGCGAATATCCATACTTCATTTTCCATCCATTTATTTGATGTTCTGCTCCACCCTCTCTAATTCAATACCCTATTGGAATCCAACATGATGCACTACCGTTATGTAGTCGATGCCACTCAAGACAAACCCACAAGTTAGAGGCGCCTAACCTAAATTGATTTTCTTGCCCTTCAGATAGAATCTGTTTAACTTAAGATTATCTGCGTATATGGCGTCCAATATGCTTACATAAAGTAATGATGTATAATTTTTCTGGTTATTTTTGCTTCCATGTTGGAGTAATCATTATACCTTATATGTATAATAATTTGTTTTGATGAAGCCCATCTGGCTTATTTTTGTAGAATAATACTGCATTTCCTGTCAATTTACTAGTTGATGCTTATTTCATCTATTTAATCATTTCAAATTTAAACTGTTTGTTAGGTTATGGTGTAAAGGAGCTTGCATGCATAGGTAAAACAATTATTCTGTAAAAAATTATACTTATAGCCTAACGACTTGTTTATCAGATCTTGAGGTTACCATAAATAAAACGTGGATTAATATGATGTTGTGCACATCTTCCATCGTTATTATATTCGATCAAGATGGGATGTGGAATGAATTTTAAAGTTAACAAACACTCCTCATAAATGTAATTCACAATTAGAACATACCATCGGCGTTGCAGTTTATTGATTCTATGGATTTTTAAGAATTTATTTATGTGTCACACGGAGAGCATGAATTTAAAAATCTCTAAAAATATTCAAAGATGCTGATACAAATCATGAATTGAACTTTGAAATATAGTCATTTGATATTTGCTTGGCGAACTTGTTAAGTTTTGATGATTTCCTTTGAATAGAGGCGATATTGAATCTAGGTTTTACTATCTTATTTGAGTTTCTTTTGGCTCAGTTATGATAGCTTAATGAGCCAATGAAAGTTGTATTCAGTTCTATGCTTTATGTTAAATGGACTTGATGATGAATCTAGAATTTATATGTTTTACTAGTATGTTTTCCTTCAACCATGATTTTACATTAGAATTTATTGGTTCTAGTTCCAACATGTTGTTACTTGATAATTGTTCTAGATCCATATTTATATAATTTGAATGCATTTTTCTGAAAAAAATAATCTAATTTTTATCAGCAGCAAATATGATGAACATGTAAATTAAAAACAAGAGGTCAAACACTATAAAAGGCACTAAAATTTTTTGTGGTTCTGCCAAAACAATCGTGCATCTATAGGAGGGGTCCCATCCGATGTTGAGAAGTCATACAAGTGTGTAAGTGAGTCAGGATGAGAGAAAACTCTTAACACCCAATCTTACCACAAAAGTGAAGTTTTGAATATCTCACAGTGCATAAAATAGCGAATAACTTGAGATAAATAATAAAGAAAGAGGGTTAAACTATTAAAAAAATACCCACCTGTTCCTTAAAAGTTTTTCTTCCCACATGTCTATGAAATCATCATATTTTTTTGGCACAATCGTTCTTTCACTGTGTCAAGATGGTACTCCACAGTCTCTAAAAACCTTTTTCTTCTCTTTACTTTTTTTTCTCTTCTTCTCTTATTTATTGTCTTATACATCAAGCCTTCTGTTTTACTTGAGCAAACCAAGCTTCTCTATTTTTCTTGTACTATTGATTATGTTCACTACTAAAGTCATCACTACTAATGTTTCCAATGCACATGCCCATGTCTCTCCAAACCACCTCTATGAACTATAAGTATAAGGATTCTTGAGGAGATGATTTCAAATCCGACTTAGACTTGAATTTTGGCAGAATTTATCAAAAATAAAAAGTTCTCTGGAAACTTTAAAGCCTACTATTATTAAAAAATAAATAATATATATTTTATCCTAAAAGTCACTTATTTTAAGTATTTGTTTTCTTGACCATATTGAGTCAAATCCTTATAGTATCTAGGTGCCTAGATGCATATGTATATTTAGGTATGAATGGCCTGTGTAATATTTTTCTACTCCTGGGCAGAGTCTCTCAATGAACATCATATACAACCACATTTATTTAGCCTTCCTTTTTTTTTGGTATGGTTTTACTATCATGACTTGGTAATTGTTTCAAGTAGAATTAAATAACCTGCACCGCTTGTCTGGACTTTGGTTTTGAGAATTGTATCTAGACTATTTGAATTGGCTCTTGGATATTTGGAGCAAGCTGGTTTGGATTGGATTCATTTCTAGGACAAGGAACTAGTAACATCTGGATCTTTTCTTCTATTTGTTTGGGACTTGGTGGAACTGACCATATTTTCAACCCCATTTACTTGGGTCATCCATCGTCAATTCTTCCCTTGGAATTCTTTGATCTTTTAACTTGCACCGGATCGACCTGGCTAAATCTGGTCAGCTCTAGCTATTGGCCCATACAATTTATCTTCATTAAACTTGTGCCCTTTAAAGTTTTTTTTGTTTTGGATATTTGGAAGTCTGTATGGATTGGACTCATTCCAAGACATTTGGGTTGCTCCTGGATTTGGTTGGAACTTAGTGGAATTGACCATATTTTCAAGGCCAATTACTTCGGTTATTCATTGTCTTATTCTTTGCCCTTGCAATTAGTCTTTTGATTTGCTCCAAATCTGCCTGCCTAATTCGGGCGAGCTTGAGTTGTCTAACCTGACAATTCCTCTCTTTCAAACTTGAGCCTTCAAAGTGGGTTACTTGGCAATATTTATTCAGTAACTCATAATACTATTTCTGATTGCTTTGAACTTTAAAGGACAACCAATCAACAAGGAATTCTCACACCACAAAGATCAATTTTGCTGTGCTAATCTTTTTGACGGAATTGTGTTCCTTAGGCTCATTCCTCTTTTATGGCTAAATTTTGTGGTTGCAGACATATTCAGAGTCACGAGGCCATAATTTTGTACTTAACGCGGCATTTGATGAAATTGAAGTGAGCAAATATAATGGATTACTTATACCTGGTGGAAGAGCTCCGGAGTATCTTGCCATGGATGAATCCGTGTTAAAATTAGTGAGAGAGTTTTCAAACTCGGGAAAGGCAATTGCATCCATTTGCCATGGACAGTTGATACTAGCTGCTGCAGGTGTTGTGAAAGGCCGAAAGTGTACAGCATATTCTGCTGTTAGGCCTGCTATGATTGCTGCAGGTTGTTATTGGATAGAAGCAGAGACTATGGCTACATGTGTTAGGGATGGTAATCTTGTAACTGGTGCAACATATGATGGGCATCCTGAATTTATTCGGCTGTTTGTAGAAGAACTCGGTGGTACAATACGAGGTTCCAACAAAAAGATTCTCTTTCTTTGTGGGGTATGTTTCTAACATAATTAACTTGTAAATTATTAGCTTTCTACGGTAAACTTTTTTGCTTCCTTTAAGATGTATATTGTAGGGGATCATTAAAAAAAATAGACAGAATATTGATTGCTTAGGCTCAACTTTGATTTCTATATTGAATAAACTGACTGATTTAGTTTGGAATTGATCCTTGGGCTTGTGAAATCCAAATAACATGAACAAAATTGAAGGCTATACATCCTGATATTCAATTAAATTCAATATGTCAAAGCAATCCTAATTTAATCATACCTTTTACTTTCCTTTTTTTTTTTACTTCTGTTCATTTGTAATTGACCTTCATCTTTGACAGCAACTTTCATCCAATTAAGAGTTTGGAACAAAAGTGGGCCCGACTCACCCCTAAATTTTTTAATATTCATGAACCGATTGAGTTTATACCTTAGATGCCAACTTTGGTAGTATCTTTTTATAGTTGAGCTTGACTGCTGTTACTTGACCTTATTATATTGCAAGTTCCATGTTTCGTCGTTGTCATCAACAACAACAACGATCTTATTTAAGATATACGTTATGAATCTTTCTTTTTCATTCATTTAGGAAGTTTTAACGCTATTTCTGTATGCACAACCTTTAGTCATATTTGGTCCACATTTTTTAAACTTTTAAATTTTATCAAATTAACCATGCCTACTCACTTATCAGTTTATTTTTGCCATCATTAAATATTCTCAAATTTAGTTTATTTTCTACTATTTTTACTTTTAATAGGTGCTCCTCTTGCCATTATTCCGATGTAATCAATTCTTACTCCATCTTCTTTTGTTTCAGTACACTTGATCTAAATATTTTTATATAGGTACATTCAATTTTTTTATAAGTGATTTCTTTGTTACCCAACATATTCATATAGTATAAATGATCCCTTTATTGTTTTATGAAATTTGTCTTCTAGTCAGCCTTGTGTTTTCTAATCATATAATTATCCTTAGGCACTTCAATTTAACCACTTGAAGCATTTTAACTATCTTGTTTTAGGTGTTAATTATCCAAAATTTTGTTAATGGTATTGATGCGGGGCGTACGTGCGGGGCATCCCATGTCAAAGGTAGTGATTTGGCTCCTTGCCTGGAACGAACCGATTCAAGCTTTTTTCCCCTTTGAGGAGTCAATCACATCTCGTGGGTCATTCCTAGCTATCTTATTATTATATATTTGCTTTCGTGAGAGTCTAGGGTTAGATTTTGCATGAGTTTGTTCGAGACTGCCACCGACATCTCTATTTTCTATCTAGGGTTGTATCTGAGGGTTTAAGTGATGCTCTAGCCGTATCTTCTTCCCATAGTGGTGATTATTTTCCTTATCCTCTTCCGTATTCTCCCTACATCGCTCCCGGCCACCCCGTCCCCAGTGCAACCGCCTGGAAGAGCAGCTATTGCTGCTTTTCCTTGCAGTTACCCCATTTCCAGCCACCTCCCTCCCTTCCCAGCCTCGCTGCGACTCTGCACAACCATCTCCACCCTTCCCCAACCTTCCTGCATCACTACAAATTGTCGTTCCTCACTGTCGCCATCCAGAAAACAACAAATCTAATTTTTTCCTGTTGTCCAGCCTCCATTGAACAACAAACTGCCATCGTTTGGACTGTCATCTCTTACTTCCCTACTATACTCACCTTCTCCTTCATCTTCTATCGCACGAGCGCCTTAAGCGCACGTATGCCAGATTTCCTTCTCGGTTTCACGAGCTCGACTCAACCGAATTCGAAATCCTTTTGCCTTCTCGCTCCAAATTGAAGCCGTCTCCACTCTCTATGTCGTAGGAATCACACGAAAACGCAGACTCTCTCCTTGTGCGCTGAAGCCTCTCCACGCCCCTGCCTCACACATGATCCCGCTCTTACTTGCCTGAAGCCTCTTCGTTTTCTCCTTTGCACTCGACCCCCCAACCTTTTGCCACTCACCCCACATTTAAGCCATGTTTCCCTCGCATTATTATCAAGATTAATGTTAGTCAAGAAAGCAACTCCAGGATCACATCGTACAATGACGAAGGTACTGTAGTGACAGCGGTGGTAGGGTTTGTTTCTTGTACCAAAATGAAGTAATTGCTCAAGTAGGGATGCTATGCTTGATCTAATTTCATTTGATACTAGCAACATTCCTGACTTGATTACCGCCAAACATGAAGAAAAAAAGACAGATATGCTACCTATTAGAATTACAGACAATATTCATATTGGAATGTTGGTAAAGAAACAGTCATTGCCGGTCCCAAGCCCGGATGTGAAAAGTGGAGGGTTGCGTTAGGTAGTCGACAACCAGTTTAAAACTTGTCGAAAAAAAAAACATGACATGAATCCTTTTGATCATTGTGTAAGTGCTAGGGCGTCCCTTGGAAGCGACGTGTTGTATAATCTGAATACAGTGAAAGTGTGCAAGGACTGCTACACCGACGCCCGGGCGAAGTGTCAAATAAGCAAGAGTTCTCATATTACAGACGAATGCAGATAAAGAAGTTATTCCATGAAACTAATGAAACTAATATTATGATATGATCTTGGAAGGTACTCTCAATAATTAATTAATGGAATTAGTTGATATTATGATTCATAGGAAAATTAATATCTTATGCATTCAAGAAACTAAATGGGTTGGAGAAAATGCTAAAGAGATTGATAATTTAGGTTTTATTTAGGTTTTAAACTTTGGTTTTAAACTTTGGTATTCCGGTAAGAGTTGCACTAGAAATGATGTATGTGTAATTATAAATAATAGTTTGAAAGATAATGTTGTAAAAATTAATAGAGTTGGAGATCGAATTATAGCCCTTAAGATTATCATTGATACTAAGATTTTTAATATTATAAGTGTTTATGTTCCTCAAGTAGGTTTAGATACAGGGTTTAAAGATAATTTTTGGAATGACTTAGAAGACTTAATACAAATGATATCTCTTGAAGAAAGAATTTTTATTGGAGAAGATTTAAATGGACATGTCGGTAGAGTGGTAGGAGACTTCAGAATACTCATGGTGGCTACGGTTTTAAAGTAACTAATGAAAAAGGTAGAGCTATTTTAGATTTTGTTTTAGCGTATGATTTTGTTATTACTAATACTTTATTCAAGAAAAGAGATGAGCATCTTATTACTTATAAGAGTGGATCTAATAAAACACAAATTGATTATTTTCTTATGAGAAGAAGAGATCGTCGAGATTGTAAAAATTGTAAGGTCATTTCAAGCGAGAATTTAAGTACCCAACATCGTTTATTAGTTCTAGATTTTAAGATGACGAGTTGTAAAATAAAAAATACTAGGACTTATCATCGTGGAATTAGATGGGGGAACCTAAAAAAATAAATAAATTTTTTTTTATGAGTAAAATTTAAGATTTCAAAATTTGGGATGTTCATAAAGAAGCAAATGTTATGTGGGATAAAGTAACAAACACTATTAAACAAGTAGCAAAATATGTGCTTGGGGAATCAAAAGAAAAAATTTTTATAAATAAAAGTAGTTGGTGGTGGAATAATAATGAGCAAGGAAAGATAAAATATAAGAAGTTATGTTAGAAAAAATAGTTTAACTGTAAAAACTTAGAGAACTGAGAAAAATATCAAATGACTCGCAGGAAGTCTAAAAGAATAATCTATGACGCTGAAAATTCTGCTTTTAATGATCTTTATAATAGATTGAATACTAAGAAGGGTGAAAAATATATGTATAACCTAGCTAAACAAAGTGAAATGAAAAGTAAAGATTTGACTCAAGTAATGTGTATTAAAAATGAAAATCAAAAACTATTTTTCTTAGAAAAAGATATTCAACATAGGTGGGTGAGTTATTTTGATAAAATTTTTAATAAAGTTTCTGAAAATATGATCGACCTTAGTGATCCTAATATCGTGAATAATAATAAAATGTTTCATTTTTACCGTCGGATTAGTAAAAAAGAAGTTGAGGAGACTTTAAAGAAAACCAAAGGTAGAAAATAAATCTGTAGGACCTGATGCTATCTCAATTGAAGTGTGGAAATATTTAGGAGATCAGAGAGTTTCGTGGCGTACTAAATTCTTTAATCTTACAAACTCTTTAATATTATTCCAAACTCTTTAATATTATTTTAAAAACTAAAAAGATGCCTGAGTACTGGAGAAAGAGTAATTTGGTCCCCATTTTTAAGAATAAAGGGGATGCACAAGAGTGTGCACATTCTAGATAAA